GCACACACACCCCCCCTCCCACACACGGCCCCTCGCACCCTCCCGCACGGTTCCGCACAGCGGCCGCGGGCGCCCCCTGGCGGTCGCGGGCGGCCCCGCAGCCCCGCCCGGCGCTGACGTGTCGCAGCCACGTGCGCGGAAGCGGCGGCGGGGCCGGGCTGGGGGCGCGGCGTGAGCTGCGGGGCCGGAGGTCGGTGCGGGACCGTCGGAGCGGAGCGGAGCCGCGATGCCGCTCAAGGCCGTCATCCTTATCGGGGGCCCACAAAAGGGTAAGTGCGCGGGCCCCGCGGGGCGCCCCCCCGGCTCAGCGCCCCGCCGACCCCGCTCTGCTCCGCAGGGACTCGGTTCCGGCCGCTGTCCTTCGAGGTGCCCAAGCCGCTCTTCCCCGTGGCCGGTGTGCCCATGGTGCAGCACCACATCGAGGCCTGCGCCAAGGTACGGGAGGCCGGGGGGCCGAGGCTGGGGCCGTGGGGCTGAGGGCCACGCTTTCCACTCTGCTCACTCCCTTCGTCCCTCTCCAGGTGCCCGGCATGAAGGAGATCCTGCTGATGGGCTTCTACCAGCCCCACGAGGCCCTCAGCCGCTTTCTGGTGTCAGCACAGCAAGAGTTCAAGATCCCCATCAGGTGGGCAGAAGCTCTCGCACCCCTGGGGCACACACAGTGGCACAGCCTGGCTCGGCCCCTCACCTGCCTTCCCCAGGTTGGCAGCCCCCAGCTAGCACTCAGGCATTAGGCAGGTGGGCTCTGTCCCACCGTGGATAGGCACAGCTGGCCTCCTGTGCTAGTTCTATCATCTTTTCTTTGCCTTGGGCCCTGCCCTGGCTGGTTTGTGCTCCAGAGATGCCTCTCTAGCCCAGCTCTAAGCTTCCATGGCCTCCTTCTGTGCAGTGTCCATGTGAGCCCCATTGCTGCATGGCAGGATTATGTCTCTCCAGATCCTCCCAGCCCTTCCCAGCCTTGGTGCCAGTTGGTGCCACCAAGCATCTGTTTCCCTAAGCCCTTGCTTTTCCCTACTCTGCTCACAGGTATCTTCAGGAGTATGCAGCACTGGGCACAGGTGGTGGCATCTATCACTTCCGAGACCAGATCCTGTCAGGTGGTGCTGAGGCCTTCTTTGTCCTCAATGCAGACGTGTGCTCAGAGTTCCCCTTACAGGAAATGCTGGAGTTCTGGCAGCAGCATGGAGACGTGCACAGCTTTGTCATTCTGGGTACCACAGTGAGTGGCAGTGTTGGGGAGCAGAAGAGCTGCAGTGCTCTGCCATGGGCTTAGAAGCCAGTGGCTCTGGTGGTGGGTGGGTCCTGGGCTGTGAGCTCTGGGTTTCGTCTGCTCTGCATCTGCTTGCCCACTGCTCCACCATTCCTTGCATGTCCTTGCTCCATAGGCCAACAGGACACAGGCACTGAATTACGGCTGCATCGTGGCGAACGCGGACACGCAGGAGGTACTGGAGGGCCTTAGGTTGCTGAGCACAGCGTGGGCAGCGGGTGCTGCGCTGCCTGTGTGGGCGCGCGTTCCCAGTGCGACACAGAGGGTGTGACGCTGGGCGTGGGGGCTGCGCCCCAGGATTCACATCTCTTCTCTCGCCTCCAGGTCCAACACTATGTGGAGAAGCCCAGCACGTTTGTCAGTGAGATCATCAACTGCGGCATCTACCTCTTCACACCTGCCATCTTCCAGCATATTGGCGAGGTCTTCCAGAGGAACCAGCAGGAGCTAGCACTGTGAGTGCCTCACTCTGCTCTGCGTCCCTCCCACCCCACTGCTTCCCGGGGCTGCAGCGGCACACTCATCCTCCATTCTTTCTCTATCTTTTCTTCTCCTCTGCCATCACTCACTTGTTTCCTGGTCCTGCACCAGCTGTCCTTACCTTGGGTAAGTCTCCCTCTGTGTCTGCACTGGCTGCTCTCTGGGCCAGATCATTCCTAGTGATAATGCATGCTTCCCTCCTTCCTCCAGGCTGCTCTTTCCTCTGCTCCCCTCCTGGCCAGCTTGAGACTCCCCCTCTCCCTTCCTCTCCTCCCACCCCATTTTCATTCAGTTCTGGACGGGGGGCTGAGCAAGTCTTTCACCTGGGAATGCTCTGCTCCCCTCTCCAGCTTTTTGCGCCAGCCAGCCTGTCACCTATCATCTCTGCCACCACCAAAGCTAAACTCCAGCTGTGCCAAGCTCTGGATTGGGGGCAGGATCATTTACCCACATGGACTGGGTGCGGCTCTTGCACCATCAGCTTCTGGCTCAGAGCTTATTTTGGCTGGCAGAGCCCCATCCCTCTGCTGCTCTGGTGCTCAGTGGAACTGTCCTGGCCTAGCCCCATGGCTGGTGCTGTCCCCAGCTTTGGGGAGAAGTGCATGGCTAGGTAGGAATCTGGGTTTATCAGAGCCCCTGGATTTGGGGAGGGTAGCTCTGCCAGGGTCCTTGGCTGAGGCCATAAGTGGAGTGGGTGTCTAACAGGACTCTTTCTTGCAGAGAGGAAAGCTCCAATGGCTGGCAGCGTGCAGAAGTGATCCGGCTAGAGCAGGACGTTTTTACAGCACTGGCTGGAAGTGGCAAACTCTATGTCTACAAAACTGATGGCTTCTGGAGCCAGATCAAATCAGCTGGGTAAGGGCTGAAGGTAGAGTTGGTGCAGCAGGAGCATCAAGTGATCCATGAGGGATGGGAGAGGAGGGTGCTCAGGCAGGACCCTGAGCATAGGTGGGCGGTGCTGATTTTGGATCTTCCTCCTCTGCCCTGGTAGTGCCAGAGTGACAATAACAATATTTTGCTTTTCCTTCTCCAGCTCTGCTATCTATGCCAGCCGCCTTTACCTGAACCAGTACAGCAAAAGCCACCCAGAGAGACTGGCCCAGAACAAACCTGGAGGTCCTGTCATCCGAGGTACCTTTCTGACTTGCTAATGCCTTTGGGGAGGCCGTGGGACCCATGAACAGGATCTCCCTTGATCCAAGAGACAGGTGCTCCTGTGAGCTGCCTTCCCTGACACCACTGCCTTGTGTTGCAGGGAATGTGTACATCCACCCGACAGCTTCCATTGACAACACTGCAGTGGTGAGTGCAGGTTGGGGGAACCCTGAAGCAGGGAGACACTCAGGGGTGCCAAGGGCATCATTGTCCTCCTTGCCCTCATCACCTCCCTCTGTCCTCACAGTTGGGCCCCAATGTCTCCATTGGGGAGGGGGTGACAGTGGGAGCTGGTGTGCGTGTGCGAGAGTCCATTGTCCTGCACGGCGCCTCACTCCACGTAAGTAGGATTTGCCTGAGGGAGTGGGTATCAACCCCCATTCCTTGCAGGGAGGCAGAAGCACCCTGCATCACCCTTTCCTTCACCCCAGGACCACACCTGTGTCCTCAATACCATTGTGGGCTGGGACAGCACCATTGGGCGCTGGGCCCGGGTTGAAGGAACGCCCAGTGACCCCAACCCCAATGATCCCTATGCCAAGATTGACAGCGAGACCCTTTTCCGGGATGGACGCCTCACGCCATCCATCACGATCCTGGGTACGTCCCTGTTGCACCAAATGGCCCTGGCCCTGCTCAGCGAAGCAGTCTCTCCCCGCCTGCTAACCCCCTTGCATTCTCCCTGCAGGCTGCAGTGTCACCATCCCTGCTGAGGTCGTTATTCTCAACTCCATTGTCCTTCCTCACAAGGAGCTGAGCCGCAGCTACAAAAACCAGATTATCCTGTGAGTCAGGGGCCAGCACCAGCCACCCACTCCCTGCTGTGCCCCGCAACAAGAGCCTGTGCCCTCTTGGGAGGTTCCCAGTACCCCCAAAGGAGTAGGTACAGGCCAGGAGCCCTGCAAGTGCCTGACTACTGATCCAGACAGACATTAAAGCTGGTGAGCATCAGCCTTGCGTGCTGCTTCTCTTGCAGCCCAGGGACCAGCCCCAGGCCAGGGTGAAGGCTTCAGGGACAGCATGTGACCCTAGCACCAGCCTGCCTACCTGTGCAGGGAGCACTTGCTGCCTGCAGTGTTGTGGATCCAATTTTGGGTGTTTCTCCACCAAAGGGCACTAACAGCACCACATTCCCACTCCTCACCAGGCTCTCCCTGCCTCATTTGCTGTCTGCATCTTCCTGGAAGGTCTTGGCCCATCTTAGAGACCAAGGAGCTTTGAATGGGCTTGTCCTGTGTAGGCAGCTCACCCCACAGGAGCCAGTTGGGAGCCTCCTGTGATTTCATCAGTGTGATTGCAACTGCCTGAGCTGGGCTCCTGCCTACTACTGGGAAAACAGTGCCAAGCTGTCCTAAGGGTACTGGCACACAAGGGCTGGGTTAGACTGGCAGGCTGCTGGCCCTGAAGGGAACTGCAAGAGCACCCCCTCCCCTAGCACAACCTCTTCCCCCATGGGCTCAGTGCAAGCCAGAAGAGCTGCCAGCCTTGCCAGGCCTGCTTCTGTCAGGCTGAGACCTGTGCCTGCTGCCTAAGCAGGGCTCAGAGTGATGGCAGCAAGCCTCTGCCATCCTGGTGGGCCAAGAGTCTCCTTCACACCAGCATGGCTGTAGGTTGGGGGGCTCGCTGCCTGTCTCCCTCTTGCACTAGCCACATTCACAGGGCACCAGAGCAATCAACTTACATGTGCGCAGGTGCCAGAGATGTAGCACCTCGCTTTGTCTCAAAAATCTGATTTTTTTGAAGCACAGGCTCTCTACTGTAACCAACACTGCCCTTTATCCATTTACCCCCATTTTTGAGCTCTGTGTTAAAGCCCTGCACTCCACTGAGCGCCCCATCATGCCTCTCACCTTCAGTGAGACGCCACATTAGATATTCTCCATTCATCCAGTACCACCCCAGCTCAATGGATTTGCAGTAAATCCTTGCTCCCAGCCCTGTGCCTTCCTGTGCCAGTTCTCCTGTGGTCCTGGGTGGGGATTAGCTGTTCCCTGGCTTTAAGCACATTAAACTCCTTCAGTTTTGCCTCTGCCTTGGATGTGTTAATTTTCTTGCCCTCTGGTGTACACTCCTGCGCTGGGGAAAACTGAGCCAAAGTACTTGCTTTCAGGATTGTACATGAATTTTCTCCCGTGTTCCACATCTGGTCTGGCTTTTAGTAGGGACAAAGGTTTATCAGCTGCTGGATGGGACCCTGGGGCAGTTCTCAGCCCTGTTGTGTAATGACCCTTTTCTCTAAGTTCAGCCTTGCACAGAGCTGTCTGGGAGATGAGCCCTTCCTAGGATCTTGCTCCATTACAGCATCATTCTGCTTTCCTGTCTTGGAGGGAAAGAGCTGTACATTCCAGTGCTGCTTGGGCTTTGCAGCTCTAGCACCGGGGCTGGAGGAGAGGAAGGGGTTAAAGGGGCCTCCACTGAGGCGCTAGGAAGTCTGGAAACACTTTAAGGTTGTTCTGCCCTGAGCAGGACAGCTCCAATTACTTGAGGCCAACATCTGAGCTCAAAGAGGGGCCTCCCACATCCTGGGCTCCAGGGCAGGAGAGGAAGGATTCAGCTCAGGTGGAAGGAGGCCTTGTCTACCCTCCCAAAATAGGCATTGCTTACACCACCTGTGCTGACTGTACAGCTCTTGTCGACTGCCCAGCCAGGCTCCATCATGCCCGTGATCCCTAACCCCTGGCACCTGGCAGCAGCAGGGAGGGACAGACAGCAGCCACAGCCAGGTGTGTTTTGCTGCAAACATTTAATAGAAACCTGACAAAGTACGGCACTGGGGTAGCATCCCTGCCACCATGGCTGGGCAGAGCCAGCTCTGCTCCCCAGCCCCGAGGGAAGCACCCCAGGGAAGCAGAGCAGAGCTTCGGACTCAGCACTGCCACCCCCCAGGCAGCCTGGTGCTGCAGGCTTTGGTTCTCCTCCAGTGCCAGCTCCATGTCCCCAGGGAGCCACTGGTGCAGGCTACACCAGAGAAGGGAAGAACCGGCCCACCTTCCTCGGGGCTGGCTCCTGCCTGCGTGGGGAGAGATGAGTCAGGGGTGCAAAGCAAGCTCTCCTGGGCTCCCACCCACCCCCAGCAGCACTCACGGGGGCCGGGTGGCTGTGCCCACACAGCTCCGCAGGGTGCTGGGGAGGCAGCAGGTACCGGCTGGGCTCAGCTGGCCTGGCTTGGGTTCCAGAGAGACGATGGGGTGGAAGAACAGCTCTGCACAATGGAGTGGAGACAGCTATCAAACCCCAGCCATGGACAACCAGGACCCTTCAAAGAAGCCATAAGGCCAGGGCAGGAGGGGCTGGGGCTCTTGTGCCTCACCACGTTCACCCCCCGGGGCTGGCATCAGCACAAGGTTCTCCTGCTCTGTCCCCACAAAGCCTCTCCAGAAGTCAGGTGGTAGCGAGAGGAGACGAGCCACCACCTGGGAAGAGAGGGATGTAGGACAGGGATCCTGGCAGTGCTCAGGGTACACCCCACACCTCAAGGACCCCTCACCTTGCACTGCCGCGGTGTGTCCTCCATGATGGTGAGTGGTGTGGGGTTGGCTGAGCTGTGTCCTACCAGCGTAGGGCCAAACACACGGGACAGGTTGAGCACATCCATCTTGCAGTCAGGGCTGCGCAATACCCTGCAAGTGGGGACAGAGGGTGTGAGCATGCTGCTCAGCCAAGGGGACCCTCATCCACAGCTTCCCTGCTCTAGGGCACGAAGCTTGGGTGAGGGGCAGAGAGCCAGAAGATGAGGACAGAACCCACACCAGGATGATCCACTCACTTGAGCAGGTGCAGCATGAGAAAGGCCAGGGTGTCCCTGTTGGCTGGGGGCAGCTTGCTCACCACGTGCCGCAGGGCTGTGTCACAGGCAGCATCATCCAGGATGTCTGTGGTGGCACCAGGGATCACTGTTAGAGGCAGCCTCTTCTCTCATGTCCCACCTTGGGACCCCTGCTCACCAGCAGCACTCAGGAAGGCAGGGTGGAGGCTGAAGGTAACCAGTGGTTCCTTGAGGCCCCGCAGAAAGTCCTTGAGCACACCACACACCACGTGGATGTCAGTCACACTGCTGAGGGCGGGCAGCGCACCCCCAGCCTGCAGCAGCCTCCTCTTCCACTCCCGCACCAGCTGCTCCGCACCTGGCACCCGGTACAGCCCTGTCTGGGGCACAGGGAGAGAGGCTCAGCCCCATAGGAACCACAGCATCAACCACCTCCACCATCCTAGCCCCTACCTCTGTCAAGCCTCGAGTCTCCACCTCGGTCACACACTGAACCACCAGCAGGGGCACCAGAGGCCTCGTGGAGGGGGCGAAGTCAGCCAGCACACCCTGGGGAGGAAAACGTTGACCCACTCTGTGCCCACCACCCAGCCCTGCAGTCAGGGTGGGCAGAGGCCCAGCATCCTGGGGCTGATAGCCCCAAAGCCCCATGGGGACATGGAGCAGCCCCCATGCACTGCTGTGCCCCCTCACCTCATGGGGCCAGGTGTGGTGGCGAGGCCGGGGTGCACAAGGGTTGGGGCACTGCTCCCGACACTTGGTGTGCAGCAGCAGCTGGCACTGACAGCACTTGATGGCAGTCTTCCCAAAGCGGATGCGGGAGCCACAGACACCACACGGCTCAGGGCGGATCACCTGGAGAGGACAGCAGGGTAAGGGCCCCCCCTTCTTGCAGATACTCAGTACCACTCCTTCTCTCAGCCAGCCCCCACTGCCTCCCATCCATTCCCCCTGCAGGCAGAGCTAAGGGGATGGGGGATAGAGGAGAGCCTTGCACCCCCCACACCACGACCCTCTCCCCTTGCCTGCCACCCAGGATGAGAGAGGCTGGGACTCAAACCGTTTTGGATGTGAACTGGTGCTGGACTGGTGGGAGGCTCTGTGGAGGTGAGGGGAAGGGGGCTGGTGCTGGCTGCCCCACTGAGCTACCCTCAGTGTGGCTCTCCTGCCCCGGGGCACAGCAGCCATGAGCTTCACTGGTGCTGCATGCTGTGGTCAGCTCTTCAGAGGCAGTAGGTAGTGGAGGGAGACCTGAAAGGCAAACCATCCCATCTACCAGCTGGCATGTGGGGAGGCTTTTCAGCTCTCAGGGAACCTCTGCATGGGACAGTGGCATTTGGCATGTCCAGAGGACCCCAGTACCTCCATGGTGGGGATAAGCATCCCCCAGCAGATCCCCTCCCTCCCATGTGACAGCAGCATCCTGAGGCTAGTCCCCCATCACCCACCAACCCTCTCCTCAGCCCTTCCCATGACCTGCACGCATGGAGACACGATGTCCCTGGCAAGACCGGCGGCGTGGGACCAAAGCAGTGGGCAGGAGGCTTCCAGCAGGGCCTGGGACCTCAGCAGGAGGAGGCATAGAGGGGACACTTGCCTGTCAAGATAGGAGGCAGTGAGAAGGTGCCTGTCCGCAACCCCACATTTCTCCAACATCTCCCTCATGATCTCTGCTCCACCCAATCCACATCCCTGTGGTCCTCCAGAGCCAGGGATGCTGTCCCCACTGGGACCAGGGTGATACACCAGACCCCACAGAACCCACAGGCTGCAAGCACTGGGACAGTCCATGCACCCCATCCCTGCCCAGGGCACGCTGAGGTCCCTACTCACAGCATTATGGGGTACCACAGAAGAACGGTGCCGCTTTGCCATCACAACTGGGCCAATCTGAGGGGCCAGGGACACATACTAGAAACAGAGAAAACAGTGTGAAGAGCAGGCAGAGACTCCTCCCTGACTTTGCCCCACACACCAGATCACTCAAGTCAAGTGGACCCCAGCCCAAAAAAAAGTCCCAGTCTCATGTCACCCCCGCCAGCATTGCCTGCCCCACACCAGGCACACCTTGGGGACTCAGGCCCCCCTCTGGGTTGGAGCCAGCCCTGGGGCTGGGGGAGGCCAGCCCAGGCCTGCAATGCAGAGGTGCAAGCGGAGCAGGGTGCGGGATGCCCACATATGGGGATGAATTATTGAGGAGCCCAGCTGGGCCACAGTGGAGCATAATGGAGTTTCTATTGATCGCGGGAGGTTTGCCGAGAGACGATGCTCCCAGCCCAGCATCAATAAATTAAACCCCCTGCCAGGCTCCTTGCAGCCTCTTGTGCTGGGATGGATAAGTATCTGGGTGCCCTCACCTCTCATGGCCCAGGGCCAGCACTCCAATCTGGGCGGCACATGAGGATCTGAGTGGGCAGAGGGACCCAAGGGCACATTACCTTGGGATCAGAGCTGGGCGATCCTTACCCACAGAGGGGCACAGACCCCACCTCAACACCAGCCCCCCGGGGCTCCCAGAATTTCCTTCATACCTGCCTCTCCGGGGCTTTGCGCTTCAGGGTCCGCACCACCGTCATATCAACACCCTGAAAGGCAGTAAGGAGTCTAGGGGCTGGCAGGGCCAGGGACAACCCCAACATTCATCTCTGGCTCTGACAGCAGCCCACCCCTAACCACAGACATGCAAAGGGGCTGCTCCACTGCAGAAGTGGAGCAAAAACACCCCCTCACTGCAGGGGTAAACCCCAAGAGTCACAGCAGGACACTCCTTACCACATCATCCTCGGTGCGGTCATAGCTGATATCTGAGTGGGACAAGAGGGACTGGCACGACTCGTCCACTGCAGATGACCTGCAGAGTGAGCTCAGCTGGAGCAATTCCCCCCTCAGCCAGCAACTACTCATACAGCTGCTCCTGGGAGCTCATGGCTGATGCCCCTGCAGAGCCCAAGCATCCCCATGCCCAACCAGCCCCTCAAGGTGAGCAGCAGTGAAGGGGAGAGGGGCACAGCCAAGCCCAGGGCTGCCCAAGGGGCTGAGGTCTGCCAGCCCTGCTCACCTCCTGCCCGGTGCCAGGGTCGCCCCGAGGCGCCGGCCAGCCAGGGCGCTGAGAACAGAGCACTGGCTCCTGCTCAGCATTTCATTGCCCCATGGCTCCCGCATCAGAGACTCAAAGACCAGCTGAAGTTTGCGCTCCTGTAAGTGAAAGAGGGTGGTGGTGAGAGGGCTGGGGTCCCCGCAGCCAGCCCTGCAGGGTACCCCTGTGG